ACTGACTTCAACAGATCGCATTTTTGTAATGAAGGACAGTGCTACCAACTGACCAAAAAAAAGAGCTGACAAATATTCAGCCTGGGCAGTGACAATTTCCAAAGAATTTCTGTGCTTAATTTATGTATGTAGAAAGTTTGTATCAATGCAGATTTATTTTGACATCGATGCCGAGCTCATCTGTGTTGGGCTTGTACGGCACCTAGCGTTTGCTTGCGTTAATAATGTTTGTTTTAGTGTCAACGCTCAACTGGAATCTGCTTGTCTGATAAGAATGACGAAAGCAACGAGAGAAGAAAGAGAGAATGTTACACGTATGCAAATGTAAATATCGATTTTGTTATTTCGACCTTAAGAAAATGACGGAATAATCGTTTTACAAGCTATCGGCATGTGACGTCAGCTATTCCAGATATACATACGTATATTGGCTCATATGATCGGAATCGTAGGGTTTGCATATGGCAGCTGACGATGTATAGATCGGATGGCCTTTACTATCCGAAATACTCTGTTAATAACTTGGATCACACAGCACTGGAAATGACAAACTTTTTTGAGTTTTACGTTACTAATACATCCACAGGGGGTTGCCCTTTGTAACCGCTCAAGCGATTTTTTGGCCGAGCTCCTCTTCCAATTTGATTTTTTTCCAATAAATGGTCCCTCCATTTAGTTACAGTTACAGTTTTTACTAAGCCGCCTCCGAAAAGCTAATGGTTTTTATGAGGATCTTTATTGCATGTCAGAAATAGACTCAAAGGAGTGGACATTCCTGCGCTATCTGTCAACCAGTTTGTTTACAGCAGTTGTTGAAATCAGCCAACCTCAGTTCACTCTGGAAATTTTCTTGATTGACATTCCCTGCCGAGGGCCACCGCAATTAGAAACTTTAATGTAATTTTTTATTTAAACTAATTTCCTATAACTTTTTAATGTTGGTTGCAAGGGGATTTGAACCCGAGCCTTCTCCGTGGATGAAATCAAAAAAAAATTCTCTACTAGAAAATATTGTCTGTACAATGGCCTACGATGAAAAAAATCAAAAATTGACAATATGGCGGCGTTTTATAAAAAAGTAGTCGAAGTTGATCAGATCAAAAATCGATAGGTCATTGTACGGAGAACTATATATAGAACATGTAAAAAAAATTTGTTTTTCAGTAATCACTACAGCAAATTCGGAAAATGCTGTTTCGAAAAAAACGCGTTTAAAGATGAAATGATCGTTTTCACCGTAGCAAATGAGACTCTCTAGCTGCCGAGCGGCTGCTCTTTAAATTGCTATAACTGAAAAACTCTTTGAGATATCGATTTGAAATTTTAATATGTTATTTTTAAAGGTGTAATCTACCGAAATATTAAAAAATATTTTTTTGAAATTTCACACTAGGTATGCCCCTTAATATATATTTTTTAATTCACTTTTTTTGTCACATATCTAGATTGAATTTAAGAAAAACCTAGCCCCGCAAGAAATGCTTATGTTTACAGTCCAAGTAGTATTTTTGTGAGTTATTAAATATTTTTCGTAACTATTTACTAATACTTATTGGAAAAAAATCCTCTTAAATTGTGAATTGAACACTCAACCTGATATTTTTTGAAAGAAATTTTATGGCCTTGGGTTCTTGTTCTTTTGCGAGCAAAAGTAATTTGCACACTTTTATTATAACTAAGTATAATTAAGCAAACTTGTGCTGATATTTAAACAAATAACGCACTTCCTTCAAATTAGTTTTTATGGCAACTCACATTTTTAATTCTCAGCTGAATGTTGAGCCTCGATCTTGCAGTTTGAGCTGTGAACAAAGCCTAATCGAGGCCCAAAGTTTATAGACAAGTGAGTAGGTTTCCTGTCATATTGTATTATCTTTGCTAATACCGATAAGTCCCAATTGTTAGGCGTATAGGTGGATAGAAGCAGCGGCATTCGGCGGACAACTATATTTGGATCTTGGATGGATGACTGTGAATAGATTCTTAGATCATCATATTCACATTTTCATGGAAGACATTGCATGTCAATAATATAATGGGAAAAATAAAATTTCGAACTAGAACCCCAACACAGATTTTTCTTCGCTCTTTAACAGTCACCTACTTTCGAAGACCAAGTAGAATTCCAAATTTATAAACCAAGATACAGAAAGCAAGAAATCGCCGAGCTTGCAAGTATTCCGTAAAAATATCATTTTTAACTATTTTTTAGATGAAATACCATATGTTTCTAAACACAACAGACAATTTTGAATTTAGCAATCCATATTCTCCCATTAGACCACGGGTGTGAGTGAACGATTTAGAACTATGGATAAGAAAGCCAAAAAGAAGTATTTATACATAAATGTGCTACTGAAAATGATTTACTCAATTACAATTTATTTATATAAATAATTTCACGAGGTGATAGATCAGACGACTGCAGCACATATGTACAAGCCTTCGTACAAATATATGTATATACCGTTAAACTAATTATTCAGATGTTTACTTGTAGAGAAAGTAAACAACATCAACAATCGTCGGTGTGCTTTTAGTGACACCGTAAATGACGCCCGCCTGAATCCATAAATCCACCAAAATCGATAAATCAAATCACACAAAATAGAAATAAGAAGGCCAAATATTTGTGTAATAAATACTTGACGTGTTGTGCATAAATTCCAAGGTACCGTTAAATATATGTATATAGCATGTTAAATGAAGGCGACTATATCATGTTACCAAGAACAGTTAAAGTGTAATAAATACTATTTATGCAGTGGAGCAGTGGAGCTTGCTTAGGACTTAGAGTTGCTTTAGATGCCGGAGAAACAATTAGCAATAAAGCTGCTTGAGACTGAAGTAGAATAACCAATTTTAGGGAATAAACGTGGAATATACAAATAGATGCGATGAGAATTTCCGATATTAAAACAATAACCACTTCATAACTACAAAACAGTAAAGATTTCAATTTTGAATTTGAAAATGACTTTCTAATAAAAAATAACGCAAACCTCGATCAAAATCATTTACCACATATTTTTGGCACTCTGCAACCGGTGAAGTGGTTCACGGCCGAACTCCTCCATCAATTTTTGGTTTGGGTCTTGCAGATTTTCCAACAAATTGTGGGACCTAGAGTTTATACTAAGCCGCCTCCGAACGGTTGATGGTTTTTGTATGAGGAGCTTTTTTTCTTGTCCCAAATACACTCGGAGGGGTGAACATTCCCTGCCGATGGACGACCGCAATTAGAAAATTTAACTTAATTTTTTTATTTAAATTAATTTTCTATAACTTTTGGATGTTGTTTGCACGGTGATATCGATCTGTGATATGAACCCCTGCCTTCCGAATAGCAGTACGTAATGATAACCGCTCGGCCACAGCAGCCGCCAAGCCTTCACTAGGTATTAAATCATGCACGTGATGAAATCGGACAATTTTATTAAAGCAAACGACAAGTCACGCATTAGCACTGGATATGAAATATCGAATACATTATAAGGGGTGATTTTTTCAGAGCAATAGGATGAAATCTTCATTTGAATCGATAGTACGGTTCATATAATTTAAGTTCTGAAGATTATTTCATGCAAATGTTGACCGTGACAGCATCCCAAATGGTCCCTCCGCTTAGTCCAGTTTTGGCATACTCTTTCCAACATTTCGGACGGTATCTCACGAATAAATGCTTCAATAATGTTCTCCAATACGTCCATTGCAGCGGGCTTGTCTGTAGAAACATAAGATTTAACATAGCTTCACAAAAAATAGTCTAAAGGCTTTAAATCGCATGATCTAGGCGGCCAATTGACCGGACCCGAACGTGAAATAATATGTTCACCGAACTCGCCTCTCAATAAGTCCATTGTTACTCGTGCTGTGTGGCATGTGGCACCATCAAGCTCCTGCATTTTGGGCAAAGAAAAGTTTGATATGATCTCACAGTAGCGCTCATCATTCACAATTACGTTACGATTCGCATCATCTTTAAAGAAGTCCGGTCCAATGATGCCACCAGCCCATAAACTGCACAAAACTGTGACTTTTTCTGGATGCATTGGTAGCTCTTGCGATGCTTCTAGCCTGATCTTCACTCCAAAATCGACAATTCTGCACCCATTAAGCCAAAAATGAGCTTCAAAACGATGAACTTTCTTAACAGAGCACTCATTTTGATAATAAAATTCAATAATTTGCTAGCGCTGTTCGTTTGTTAGACGATTCATGGTTGAATTAAAGATCAAACTGAAGATGTTTGACAGTCATACAAAACACGAAACGTACTTCAGATGTTTAAGCCAGTATTGCCAAAAAGATAAAAGCTAAAAAAATTACCCTTTACTAAGAGAATCGTTTCGTATTCTCGATGAATTTGTAAAAGCGCCTTTTTTTCGTGCGGAAAGTTAGCAATGTGAAATTCAAAATATCTTTTCGTTGAGAAAATTTGATTGGTCGAAAATAACTACAATAGCCCTTCGCGGAGTTAGAATTCAGGGCTGCAAAGGATGTCCACTATCTCCTGTTAATTATTTTTTTAACATTAGTTTTTACCTCTGAATTAATAATAAAAAATTTTATCTAAAACGCAGTAATTCGTTAGTCTGCTTAAATACGTGTAATCTTGCTCGAAATTTGAGACGGAAATTTGAGGCTGTTCCAGGAGATTTGCATAATCGCGAAAACCCTTTCGAAAGAGCCCTCTCCTCGTCTTTGGAAACTAATCTTCATGCAATACTATGCATTGATCTTTGAAATTTCACTTACTTATATCTTCTTCTTCTCCTTATTTTTGTACATATTTTCTGGAGAGAAAAATTATTCCGAGAGAAAAAAATTACCCGGAAATATCAAGAATCTGTATATTTTTTTATTTCAATTATTAAAAAAATTAAATGATGCTGCAAGAGGAGATTTTCCATTTGTTGTTGTATACCTTCAAGCAGTTGAGCTACAATGTTTTTGATGAAATACTATTAATGATAATTACATTTTGTGTGCTTACTTACCGATCTATTGATATTGCCACTAAGTTGAAGATTGATGAAGTTGAACATATGACATCCATACATATATAAAAATCACAAACCACCGCGGGTAAGTTCCACCGGCCCCCATTTACCTGTAAAAAATTTAACACAAAAATAATTTTATGCTTAGACACCAATGATGATTGCAAATAATTCAATTAATACTTGTATCAAAAAATTACTATATACCATGGCCGCAAAAACAAATTATAAATAAATAATTTGATCTGATTTTTCAGTCAATTAACGCCTGAAAGTATAGAGTTTTCCAACACAACTCACTAACCAATAGCGGCTAAATTAGGGCACTTAATAGTTGTTGGTTAATAATGAATTGAATAATACAATAATAGATTATAGGGCTGATGTTGGCGCAGTGGTAAACACTCGCCTGTTAAGTCTGGATCCGTTGGTTCGATCCCTGCCACAAGAAGTCTGATGAGGAGAAGTGGTGATCTCCAAAATAGCTGTCACTTCTACCATTTTTCTTTGTTGTATAACAAATATTCATTTCATACAAACAACAAGGCCTCATAGTTTACTTAATACTTATATCAAAAAAAACCTTTCGTTTATTCCATATTTTTTATTCTCTCGAATACAAGACTTTATTTTCGGAAATAAAAAATAAACATTAATGGGCAAGAATTTAAGTTAATCTATTTATGATATGAATATAAAAGTACTATTTTATCAGCAAAATCATTTTTAATAGTGAAACACCTAAGAACCAGCGCCAAATGAAAAAAGTTACCATCGCTTGTTAGTCATGCTTCTAATGCCCCTAACAGAGAAGTCAAGAGCGCCTCAGCTAAGAGCTCTCTATCGCCAAAGGCTGCCAATATAGATTTTATTCATAATTTTCAAATTGACTAAAATATGTAATCGTAAATAATTATTAATCACATTATAGTTCACTTATATTTGATTGGCTCTCCAAGTGTATTTGTGACATGAAATAAAAGCTCCACATAAAAATCCACCAACCATTCGAAGGCGTCTCTAAATAAACGGTAGGTCCCTCCATTTGTTGGAAAAACATTAGGACGCACGCTAGAATTTGGAGAAGGAGCTCGGCAGAAAATCGTCTCAGTAGCAATAAAAACGGCAATTATTCACCAGTATACGAGGGGAATAACAAAAGTTCTGTAAGTTTCCCAAAAGAAAAATTTAAAAAAGTCTTTTTGCAAGCATTAGTAATATTTGTTCCTTCTTATCTTCTCTACATAATCGCCATTGATTTCAATGCAACTCTTAAGCCTATACGTGTAGAACCACTTCTGAAAACAGTCTTGAAAATATTGCTTTTTAAGCATATCTACCTCAGCATTAACGGCATTAATTACTGCCTCGTTGCTATTAAAGCCTTTTACTTTTAAATTTTTTTAATTTTTGCAAATATCCAGAAATTACAAGCTGCTATGTCCGGGGAATATGGTGCTGGTCGTATTTCATAGCATGATGTAAAAACTAGCGCCGCAAATCCTCTTTCTTTCTGTTTTCCGATAAATTTTTGAAAACTCTTGGTAAGCACTCTTCGGTGTACTGCTATTATATTAGAATAGCAGCTACGATTTTAAATCGGGTGAAGTAAACTGACTTCATTACTTTTGCTGCTGATTTTTGTTGCTTAGATTTCAGGGGTGGGTTCGCTCCCGTTGGGCTCCATACTACGATATGCTGTTCGGTTTCTGGACCGTACTTATAGAATCAAGATTCTTTACCAGTAACGACTTTACTAAAGTTGCTAGACTGACCGAAACAGAAAGAGAATCATATGGCGAACTTATGTTTGCTTTGTTAGTGGAATTTCGTGTGACCTATCTTCAGCTATCTGGCGCTTTCTCGTCTCTGTTTTAGCCAATTGTTCTAAAAATTGAAAGAAAGACTAATCTAATATTTGCAAAGTATTTCGTATTTTTAGAGTAAACAAGAACAAATTGAAAGTCACCAACTGATCGAACCTTGGTTAATGCTCTCGTATATACACGTATGCACATAAATTGGATTACAACATATGTCATATGCAGGTATATTTTTATAATGGTAATGTGTGTGTTTAAGCGAGTAACTTTTTACACTCTTAGACTTTAGGTTTTGCTTTATGTATTTATGCATATATGAATTTACCTCTGTAAGTATATTCATGCTTGCATATATGCATATCGGTAATTTACGGGGGGACAGTGGATCAATAAACTTTGCTTGTTGTAAGTTTGGCTTACAATACAACTTGGAGCCCACCCTCGCTCTACGATTTTTGTAGAGTCACAGCGCTCAAATGAATTGTTGTCATCTCACACCGTCGCACACCACCAGCAACACAGAAGGAATGGTCAACCCGCATCTCCTCTATTTTTTCCTATGGTGTTCACCCCCGATTTATTTAACATTTTCTTTGCCTTATTCTAAACTTTTCCCCTCCTAGCACCAGGCTTTGACAGTATTAATAACTTTTTGGAGCCAGCGAGACCGGATCTGATTATTAAGACATGTGATTTCGTATCACAATTCTCACAATTTTCCAGTTTAGTAAGGAATTTTTATTTAACTAAATAACTGTAATACACAAAAGCATTGTTGACTCCTAAAGTCTGCTTCACACTTGCATTGAAATGCCGAATATCGACGGTAGTTTCTACGGTTTTTGTTGAGGTGGCTCCTCACATATATTTAATGCGTTACTTTATGTGCTGTTTTCAGTTTAGGGTTGGATATATCGCTATATTTTCAATAAACTAAACAATTGCTAGGATTAACACAGGCCCTAGCCATTCTATTCCACAACAACTTTTTCCTATTTTTGAAAATTTCTGATTTTGCTATGCAATTTATTCTTTACTGCAACAACATTTTCACAGTTGCTTTATGTCATGCCATGTTATAAAAACCTCAATGTTTTCTAGTAAATTTTTGATGTTCATACAACTTTTCTTATGAATTGACACAGCCCTTTAGAGGAATGGGTGAACTCAGTGGTGACTTTGCAGTTTTCTCTATGTACAGGGTGCGCCATCCGATAGCTTTGAAAGTTAAATAGTTTCGCCATTCTTTTATGTACATATGTATGTATGTATGTATATATATTTTGGCTTTTTCGGCGCGTCATTTCAGTCTATGTTGTGCCATGAATCAACGAACTCCATGCTGTTAATGAGTTTTGGTTCAAAATCATTATATGCGATGAAGCTCATTTCACATTGAATGGTGCGATTAAAAATAAAACTGCCGCTTGAGCCGACGGAAATCCTTGCAAGATATGCGGAGAGTGTCTCTATGATCAAAAAGGGAACGTTTGGTGCGGTGTATCGGCCAGAAAGATGAACGGGACATATTTTTTTGAGAATGATACTGGCAACGCCGTTACGATCAATGGCGCCAGCTACAGAGTGACTTTGTGTTTCGGGAAATGACTGAAAATGACATGTTTTACATCTGGTTCCAACAGGGTTGGGCTGCAGTACACACTAACAGTGATTCAATGACGCTACTTCGCACGATGATCGACCGACACGTCATGTCGAAAAATAGGGATTTCGACAGGAGGCCGAATCATCTAATTTCACGTCGCCGGCCTTTTTTGTGGGGATATTTGAAAAGCACAGACAAGCCGCAGACCATAGCTTAGCAAAAGTCAATATTCGCCGGGAAATATCGCTTATTACCATCAGTAAAACGCTGGTGCAAAATGCACAAAAAAGGCATATTTTGCATCAAAAGAAAGGTTTTTAGATAATATATTCAAAATAAGATGAAAACAAAGTAGAAAACAACAAATAAAGTTTGTATAATAAAAAAGTAATATTAATAAAATTTGTTTTAATCAAAACTTATTCAAGTTTCAGTGCTTTCACAACACATGGAGCTCCCTGTATCTACTAAATGTAAAAAAATCGTGAAAAAGCATCTAAAAGCGTAAAATTGGGTAACCTATATAAATATTTATATATAGATATACGTATATGCTTATAAATATTGAGACTGAATATCATCGAAATGGAATTTTGCGTTTTGCAATAAATTCCATATTTTCATGAATGGTATAAGGACTTCGGCGTTGACGTGGCATGGAAGACAGAAATTCCGGCTTGTTTTACATAATATCTTGAAGTCAAATTATGCGCTTGGTCATGCTCTGAACAGTTTCATGATGACATACACATCTTGATTTTTACACTTGTTTTCTTTTAGAGTTACGCCTTTAAGGCAGAAAACGTGTATACTAAAGAAAAAGATATTAATATTAAAAGTTATGATTTTTTGTGGATTTGAACACGGCTCCAGAGAAAACACACAAAACATTTTAAAAAATATGAACAACAACTACTTTGTGCGACTACTTTAAATAAAAGGGTCGCTTACGCCAACTACATTCACACCACCACACCCAATAACTGAATACGCACAAGTGCGAAATCCATTGATGTAAATTAGCGTAACTTTCTCTCACCTGACTTTGACATGGATTGTATTTTAGTCAGGTGATTTTCTTTGTACGGCTGCGACTTTGGGTGTTGTGTTGGAAGGAGGTTGGCTTCTGTATTTTGCCTCCTTTTCTTTGAGACATTTGTGCTGTGCAATTTGCGCAAGTGATGAAAAAATATGTCTTCTTCATATCTTTATAATAAAGCTACTTTATATACATATGCGTATATTCGTATGTGCATATGGTAAAAAGGAATGGTAAATAATAAAGTAATAATAATAAAATTGTAAATGTTACGAGTATTTGTGGCTGCAGCAGAGTGAGCTGAATGACTGAAAGCAGTTATAATGAACACCGTAAAATCGTGTAATAAAAGCTTATTTTTTGCACATTCCTTTTATGATATACATACAAACATATCTACATATTGTGCATGCTTTCTTAAGGAAACCATAAAATTACTAAAATTTTTTTTAATTTTGTAGGTGCTGCTTGCTTTGTGTAAAGACTCTGAAACATCTATTGAAAAGTTACGAACATGGAGCTGTTAGTTTTTTAATAATGTGTATGTGCATACACGTATGTGTAAAGCAGTAGCAGCATCAGCAGCAGCAGCAGCAAACGGGTGCAATCCAGTGTTTGAGACGGGTATGAGGTTCATGGGCT